GTAATGGCTCTAAAATATGGTAGTAAAGGATGTTATTTTGGCTGACCACCCTCAACCTTGCGAGGTACTTGAGGGAGGATCCCCTGTTGTGGGAGAGAACGCGGACGAGCCAACAGTTCAGGCCAAGGAGGCATGGATATCGAATGTGGTGGAGCATCCACCCAAAGAGGGTTCTTCCAAAGCGCCCAAGCGAAACAAGGACAAGAAGAAAATTGGTCCTAAAGGAGGATATTTTATCTAGCAATTATTTGTTAAATAAAATACCCCGAAAGAAACTCGTCAAGACTCCTTACGAGTTATGGTGTAATAGGAAACCTTCCTATAAATACCTGAAAGTGTGGGGGTGCCTTGCAAAAGTTTTAGCACCACCACCAAAGAAAATAAAGATTGGTCCAAAGACCGTTGATGGAATCTTTATTGGCTATAGTGGTAGCGCGTATCGGTTCTTAGTGTATAGGTATGATAATCCAAAAATACATAAGAACATGTGCAAAGAGTAACATGTATAATGGTAAGTCTAGACATATTCATCATAGACACAAAACCATTAGACAACTTCTCACAACTGGGATTATCACAATTGACTGTGTAAAGTCAAAAGATAATCTGGCGGATCCGCTAACCAAGGGATTAACAAATGAGTTGCATGTGAAGTTGGTGGATGGAATGAGTTTGAAGCCCTTGTGTTAGGACAGTCTTATGAAGGAAAACCCAACCTGGCTGGTACCCAAGTTCAATGGGACAACCGACTTGTAGGATAAAGCGTGGTCACTGTGGGGGCGGTACCGAAACCTTCGGTCAGTCCCTTCTGTTCCTATTGAAGACAGTGACTCCCGAAAATGATGAGGTTAGCATATAAATATGCTTTAATGATTTTTAACCAATAGACACGGTTGTCTAAGGGAGTAATCGGGATACTCTTAAAAAATCACCTGTGTAAGAGTGAAGTGTGGTCGCTTCAAACGGAGAATCTTGGGCTTAATCCTCTAAACACTCTCGTAGAACCAGGCGCGTATCCCACGACCAAAATGGGCACAACCATGAGAACAGAACGTCGTTTGGTTGGAATCTGTATGGTGTATAGTATACTATCGTTTACACAATGGGCAGTACAGTTCAAAGACATCGTGTTCTACTGAACAACCAGTAAAGAAGGTATACTTTACAAAGGACATGTTCAAAAGTGGAGACACTTACATGTTCTTTGCAGGTTTTCAACCGTGGGATGTTGTCGACCCCCAAATCAATTTTTCATTCATGTGGGGGATTATTGGAATTTTTGGCATTTTTAATAGGCATTAAATGGACCAACTGGGTATATTTGTCAATAGGTCCACTAATGGACATGTGTTCTCTTAAATGAGATAAATATTCTGATAATTCATACGCCAAAAATGGTAGAGGGTGAATGAGAAATTGATTCTTAGAGTTAACCCGTCAATAGAAGAATATGGTAAGGATTGCAATTTTTGCAATTTTACCGAACCAATCTTCTATTATTAATTTTACGTATTGTTTAAAATTAGTCCATTTTTACGGAGTTAATTGGCCATTAATCTCCAATTATATGGGACAAATTTTAAACGGAGCGTAGCGTAATGGACATGTTAATGGCTAATTAATCACCATTAACACGTCATTAGTGTGCCACAAATGCCATGGATTAATGGTGTAGGAGTTACATTTTTACAAATTCCCTTGTTATAAAAACAAATCAAGGGAGACTCTCCATAATGTGTGGTTTCATGCGCGAGGAAGAAAAAAAGGGAAATACTTCCTTGTTTTTTTGGAGAGAGCTCTTGATTTTCCGGCCAAATTTCCGGCAATCCCCACTACTAAAAATCACAGTTTTACCTGCGAACATTTACCGGCGGATAGCGATCCGCCGCTATTTACCGGCGGAATACTTTCCCAGAAATTAATACCGGCGTCTTTTTTCTCCAGTGATTTTTTTAAAATAAGTAAAACTTTAAAAGCAATTCCAACGAAATCTTTCGCTTCCATTTGATTATTAAAAAAGAAAAAAATATTTTTAAATTATATATTCTGAAAATTATTTATTTGTGGCGGTTATTTGCGACACTAAATCTAAAATTAAAAAGAGATTAGCGGGAGATATTGTCGCCGCAGATTAAAAAATTTAAACATAAATTATTGGGAGACTTTTCCGCCGGAAATTTTAAAAAAAAGAACCAAGTCTCAACTACTCACTATTTCTATATTTCCCATCCACTCAAAAAAAAAGAGATAAGGATGGCTCAGCAGACCCGTGCAGCAGTCCTGTGCAGAGACTGAATCTAAACATCACCACCTCTTCGTCGTTGCCATAAGTTTCCGTCGCGTTGCAACCAGGACGCCGTCGATCAGCTTAAGGTTGCTGTCTCCAGGTCTCCCTCCGCACTCCCCGCCGCACACGTTTTCCGTCGCGCGCCGCCGTCGCCGAACCTTCTCCATCCGGTACCCATAGCCATTCATTATCTTTGCTACTATTATTTTTTTAGTAGAGGGTTCAATTAGAATTACACATTAGAAATTAATTTGTTAAATTAAATCAAAGAATCAGATTATTAGGTTATTATGAATGTGCAAAATGTATGCCTAAAAACAAAGTAAATCAGCAATCGGATATCTTATATTTTCAATAGCACTAACCTTTTTTGTCTAGACCCATTTTAGTCTAGAATTATACTTTTTGTGTAAATATACATACATACATACATACATACATACATACATACATACACACACACACACACACACACACACACACACACACACACACACACACACACATATATATACATATATAAATGCAGAATATGGATCGTAGTTGGATGTATGAAAGGCCTTATGCAGGGAGAAAAGGTTTAAAACATGAATTTATTGAAGGGGTAAAAGAATTTGTTAGCAATGCCAAGAAGCTTCCATATTTTTTATCTGAAGGAGGGATTCGGTGTCCTTGTGTGAAATGTGAATGCATGAATATTTTGGGTGAATCAGACGTGAGAGCTCATTTATATAGATATGGATTTCAAGCAAATTATTGGATATGGACGGAACACGGTGAAACTAAGCCACCATTGGATTCCAGAGATGAGTCGTTTGCTTTTGATTTCGATGTTGGGAATGAATTTGAGATGATGGATCATATGGTTTGTGATGCACTTAGACAAGTAGTTGATGATACCAACAAATTGCAAGCTGAAGAAATGCCTAATCCATCATGTCAAAAGTTTTATGACATTCTAAGGCATGCTAACCAATCAATATATGAGGGTTGTTCTGAATCACCATTATCTCTTTCAGTTAGATTGATGGCAGCAAGGTCTAATTGGCACGTTCCACAAAAGTGTGTGGATTACTTTGCCCAAATGCTCACCGATGTGTCACCTTCAAAAAAGAACATACCCAAAAATTGTTATGAAGCAACAAGGCTCGCTTCCAAATTGGGGTTAAAGGTTGAGAAAATTGATTGTTGTGAGGATGGTTGCATGTTATTCTACAAAGACGATAGCGACTTGGATGCTTGTAAATTTTGTAACAAACCGAGATTTAAATTACAGAATCCTAGTCTAGGAAAGCATAAAAGAATTCCAGTGAAAAAGATGTTCTACTTTCCCATCACTTCTAGGTTGCAAAGAATGTATGCGTCACCAAAAACTGCAGGACTTATGACCTGGCATCACGTGAACAAAAAAGATGAGGGTGTTCTTCGTCATCCATCTGACATCCATCTGATGGTGATGCCTGGAAACACTTTAATCAGTGTTATCCAGAATTTGCTGAAGAGCCGAGAAATGTGAGACTTGGCGTATGTTCTGATGGGTTTACACCATACATTCAAGCATCTGCACACCCATATTCTTGTTGTCCTGTAATTGTTGTTCCCTACAATCTTCCCCTGAATTTTGCATGACAAAACCATTCATGTTCTTAACATGTCTTATTCCGGGTCCGAAGAATCCAGGTGTGAAAATTGATGTTTTTTGCAACCCATGGTTGATGAACTAAAGGAATTGTGGATTCGCGGGACATTGACATATGATGCATCAAGAAAACAAAATTTTATGATGAAAGCTTGCCTCATGTGGACCGTTAATGATTTTCCAGCATATGGAATGTTATCTGGTTGGAGTACACATGGTAGATTAGCTTGTCCTTATTGTATGGAGGACACAAAGGCTTTTTGGTTAAAATATGGAAGAAAACATTCCTGGTTTGATTGCCATCGACGATTCTTGCCAAAACATCACTCATTCCGGAGGAGTAAAACAGCATTTAAAAAGAACGTTGTCGAGAAGGAAGGCCCACCGTTCATCTTTGATGGAGAACTCGTATGGCAAACTGTGAAGGATTTACCACAAGTGATGGAAACAATTACCACATTAACCATACCAGGATTTGGTGCGACTCACAATTGGAAAAAAAGAAGCATTTTTGGGACCTTCCATATTGGAAGGACAATTTGTTAAGACATAACTTAGATGTAATGCACACGCAATACACACGCGGTTTAGAAGAAATTTTTATGATGCCTACACCACAATTTCGTAACAAACAACCACATGAGTCACAAGGAGTCCAAAATAATGAACAGATGCGATCTAACAATGACAGCAATGAACTAGAATTTGAAGCCGAGGATGATGATAATGTGGAAGAGCAGGACGATGAAATAGATATGGGGGATGAGATGATTTTTGACAATCCGCCCGCTCTCCAGTACGTAAGAACTAAGATTGTGCGAGCCATTCCACAGAACAGAGTGCAAAAGGATGCAGATGGTAAGTTTATTTTGCGTGTTGTGGGAAAACTGTAAGTATATTTCATATTTAAAAGTGTACATCATATTATTTTTTATTTTGTCTTTATTTATATCTTTTTTGGTAGTTGGCTTCCTTCCAAACCAGGTGTAACTATTATTGGCAAAGCTATTATGAGTTCATTTAGAGAAGCATGGCCTACTTGGTGTTCTGTGCCTCAAGAAGTCCGAGACAGGTGGTGGATGTTTTTCAAGGTATGTGAAATTACTTATTCTAGTTTTATGTAAAGAAATTACTTATTCTTGTTTTGTGCATCAGTTTTTTTTAATTATTTTTCTCCACTAAGACAGTGTGTTTTGTTGTCTTGCACTAAGGCAGTCTTTTTATAAGCTTTTGCTTTAGTTTTTTTAATGATTATTCATTGATTTTTCTTTATATAGGAACGTTGCACATGGGATCCCCGAGACGATGTACAAATGAGAAAAAATTGGCATGAAAAGGGTGGAAAACATTTAAGTGATATGCTAGGTGAAGTAAGGGTCTCAATGGAACAACCCCAGTGGATAGGAGATGCTGCATGGAAAGGACTTGTTGCTTATTGGTTCACAGACGAGTATGCTAAGAAATCTGCACAAGCAAAAGCAAATCAAGCATCAGATAAGGGTGGAGCACTTCACACTACTAGGCCTATCCCCCACATTGAAGTGGTAGAAAATCTGGTATATAATTTGTGATAATATTTTAATTTATATTTTCACTATGTAATTGTGTTTTGTGTTGTATGATATTTGAATATAATTGTATACGTTTGCAATGTAGGCTCTTGATCTTAACCGTACAATAGACCCTGATGAGATGGTTTACGTAACACGTCGACGTAAGGATGGGAGTTGGGTTGATGACCGCTCAAAGGAGACATATGTAATTATATTTCTATCTCTACACAAATATTTTAATTGTGTGTGTCTATATATGTTAGGGTATAGTATGAATTTGCAGTAAATAGCTTTAAGGTATATGATGAATGTGCAACAAATATTTTCTAGCTTTTGTCCTCTTTCGTGACGTACCTTTAACTTTTGCTAGTTAATTTATATATTCAAATATATAACTTTTTTTGTTTGTAACTTTTATTGTTGCTAGTTTCTATATTCAAATATAAAATTTTTTTGTAGACTGCATACCAAGAGAAGATCAAAGAGATTTCATCTCAAGGCTCGACAGATGAAACCCAATCTATTGAAGTTGATAAGTTGACAAAGTTACGGACATGGTCTGAAGTTGTTGGTGGCAAGAAACATGGGCGTGTATTTGGTACGGCGGGCTTCTCTTCTACTTTTTCACGTGCAGGGGCATCTACGGCTTTCTACACTTCTCAAGATGCTAGCTATGGAGCTTGTAATCTATCCGCTGAACAATTGCAAAAGGAGATGGATGATATGAGGGAGAAACAAGCAGAACAGAGTCGACTACAAGAGGAGAAAATTAAAAAGTAGGAGGAAGATTTAACAACTATGCGCAGTACCATCGACGCTATGTTTGCTCGCATCAATGCTATTGAGGCATCGCAAGGTACTTCATCGCCCACAATGCGTACTCGTGATGAACGTAGGGATGAGTTCCATCGACGACGTTAATGATGTGATGCTTTCTTATCTTTGACTTAAGTGGTGTAAGAATTTGATTTACTAACTTGTTTCATCTTGATGAATGTTTTTGTGTTCTTTTGAAGATGGTTTTTGTTTTACATTGAGAAGTGTTTAATTTATGAACTATTGCATTTGGAATGATGAGAAATCTAATATTGTTTTGATTCCTTAATTAATGTTTTTAGAGTAATGATTAAATATATTATTTTTTTAGTTAAAAAAACAATTTGCGGGAAACATTTCCGCCGTTTTTTATGTTTTTACATACTGGTGGAGTTATTTCCCACTAAGGTACCGGTGGAAATATCCTCTATTACGTAACTGGCGGAAATATTCACCGTTACCGTATTGGCGAAGTTATTCCCCGTTACTTTATTGGCAGAACATTTCCCCGCTATTTTACCGGCGGACTATTCTCCCATTACATTACCGGCGGATAAAAACTCTAGTAATATTTCCGGCGCTCGAATCAGCTTTCCGCCGCAAGGCCGACGGTAACTACTCGGTACTGGCGGGTTTTAGTCCTTTACTGGCGGATTTTTTCCACGCAAATACGAAGTATTCTTGTAGTGCCCCTTCAAAGTTTTTTTGGTCACCAACGTTCCTACGTTGTTTTTTTTCGTTGGTGTGTGGTTGATCTGTACAATCTCCACACACGATAGCGGTTTTATCCTGGGAGGAGAGTGCCCACGTTTTTCCGGTACGGTAGGCGGGCACTACTACCTTAAGGACAGCTCCGGTGACTCCGATGTCCTTCCACGGTGTTTTTTTGCAGGTTTAGTTCATAAAGACCTCGCTGCATTCTGCCCTAGGACATAATGTCCTTGTTGTTCAGTGCATAATGTCCTCGCAGCCCAGTGCATAATGTCCTCGCTGTCCAGTGCACGATTGCGGGTATGGACGGATTCGGTTTTGACGCTCACACCGGAAACGAGAGTAGTTCTGAGACTCCGGTTGTGAACGTTTCGGCTGGATTGGGTGGCCTCGTTGGGCAGACCACTCCGATCAATATTCCTTTCGGATCGAGTGCGGCCATGGGGTCCACTCCAATCACCACCTTCGTTGGATCGAGCGTGACTATGGGGTCCGCTCAGGTCACCTCGGTTATTGGACCAACCGCGGCTACGGCCGCAATGGTCACCCCACTCGGACCGAATATGGCTTCGGCGATACCGGTCATTCCCTCACTTGGACCGAACACGGGTGTCTTCACATCCGCACCGGTTGGACATCCTATTGTCATGCTGCCTACGAACTCTGTCAAAGAACCGGAAAAGTTCACAGGTAATGGCTCTAAAATATGGTAGTAAAGGA